GTTTATGGACATCACACAGGAGTCCTGAGGATTAATTACTTACTGTTGCTACAGTGCTGTGAAGGTACAAGAAGCTAAGCACTGGCAAGGGCTTTCTGCAGCTTGAAAAAGCAGACAGCACCGCAGCACGAGGAACAAGTTACCTACCATTGCTCCAGCTCTGCTGCCCCCAACAAGGCCCATGGGAAAGCGGGGAAACAGCAGGTTATTGAATTAAGTAGAGGTGGTTTAGCGGAACAGTTTCAGTGTTTTGGGCTGGGGTTTTCACATTTCTTCCCAAAGAGGAAAATAAATTTGTGAAGAAAATTGCTTAAGGTTGCCATCGTTTGCAGTCTGGTTAGCACAGGGACCCCAGGCAATGCTCTTCGGGGTGACTCAGGGATGTTAATGGCAGTTTTTAAGTGAGCGCAAATGAGTGTGAGTAGAAATATCAAAAGTAAATAAGCTTGGAGCAGCTATTCATTTTTAAAGCAGAAAAGGTTTATATACTACTATACTGTAATACTGTATCACACTATACTAATACACATTTTGCCAGCTCTTACATAGCCAGTAAGGAGACCAGGATGCTTCATGGTTAAAAAAACTGAATGAAAATTGTACCTTCTCTGTACAATTCTCCAGTGTACTGACTGACTGCTACTCTTCACCACACAGTTACGCACGCTTCTTGCTGCTGGCCCTCCAAAAGCTCCCTCCACCCCTAAAATTCAACAAGAATTGGAGTGTTATAAGCTTAGGCATCTACAGCTTCAGCAAAGGAAGAGCAGGGATGTTGCGGGAAGTACTGCAGAGCATCTCAGCAGGAGGAGGCAGCAGATGAGGCGTTCTGCAGACGACTGGCATTAGTATGTAACGCGTAGGTAGTTTGAGCAGGCGGTCCAGTAGGAAAACCTGGGAAGAGCCTGTATGCTCTATACACCCATCCTAAGTGGTAAGAGCTAAACAGAAGTCTGTGTGGAGTTCAGCTGCAGGAGGTGTGGCTGGGCTTAAGCAGGGACAATTGTGTGCTAGGAGAGGTTTCAAGATGAAAATGCAGCGTTATGCCAAGTTGAGATTCTTTCCAAAATAACCTTAACACTGGATGTGCCAAATTCTGTTAAGCCTTTTGATTTTGAATTAGCAGCATCCCTACACAAAAGTGTATTTACAGTGCTGACAATACATTTGTCCACACCATGAATGTACTTCTGTAAACAAGGGGTTTTGATATAATAAAAGCAGCTCCACAATAAACACACGGAAGGACAAATGGGTACGTACAGCTCTGCGCTTGCTCCGTCAGGATAGCACACAAATGTTTAACTCTACTTTTTGTCTTTCTACAGAGACTTGCGATTAATGTCAATAGGAGGTGGTACAGATGAAACCATGCTTTCCATCATATGCAAATACATGGAAACACTTCCAAGCAAGTGACACATCTCCACTCTTCCTTGAAAATTAAGCAAGAGCATGGTTTGTACTGCACACTGAAGGTAACAGCCAGTACAGGTTTCAGGGGTAAAATAAGTAGAAAATGTTAACAGTAATTTTGCCAACGAAATGCTCGTCAGGGTCTTTGACCAGTATCACTCTGTGTGTTCTCCAGTGTCAGATCTGTGGATATGAAGCAGTCTGACAGCATGTGGTCTCCTTCAAGATTTTTTTTTTCCATTTTTTCAGTGGGTGACTGCTTGGGGAGTCTAGTGATCCACACTAAGCACCCAGACAAAATGTCATCTTTAACCAAGATATATCTACATTTCAGAGCATCAAGGTTAAGAAATAGAACTTCCCTATGGATACAGCTGATTTCCCTAGTAGCTTTATGTAATTTCAGTGTGTCTTTGCTTTCAAGACCAATAATTAAGGGACAAATTATTCCCTGTCATATTCAAATACTGGAGCAGTGATTTTGATCTCAATTACAAGTACCTTCCCTGTTTTTCACTTGTAGCAAGCAATCACCAAAATCAATTGTCACCTTTGCTAAGGTCACATCAACTTGTACTACACTGTCGTGGATGTTTGGTAATGGGAGCAGGGGTCGATTTTTATTTGTAGAATACTACTAACAACTGTTTAATTACATCTGAAGCTTTTGGAGGCCCAAACCTCAGCAGTAAGGTATCATGTTTTTGCATGTAATTATTAAAATATTAAAAATAAACATGTTAAATATGAAAAATGTGTGTAATTACTTAAACTCTTCCTAAACAGCCATTTAAGAAGAGACAGCCTGTATTATTGCAAAAAACCAAGAATCCTACTACAGTGTTCTTATGTAGCTGCTATTAACTGCACCTTTGTAAAAGTACAATCAATGCTACTAGTGTTTTTCTGTCATATCCACTGCATAGTGTACTTTATTCTGCAAGGTCATACTATAGCATCCTGAAATCTTGCTATTTGTGAATTTTAAGTCCTGCCAGAGTAGTATTTTTAGTGACCAGTAAAGCACGTGCAGATGCTAAGGCTGCAGTGCATGGTTTCCACCAATTCCCCTTCCCTGAGTGAAATATTCTCAAAGCAGTTTCACCTTTACGTAGTCACACCTTAACCATTCTAAGAACACTTGCAGGATTCCAGGTCAGCTTTTAAAACGAAAATTGACCTTTTACTTGAATTGAAGAAAGGGAAGTGTGCTGCATCCTGTAAAATAAGACAAAAACATACAGAAATACATCAGTTTTGACTATGTAACTTTCAGTTATGTTTCAGTTCAGAATGTTCATGTTGAAAGAGACTAATGGAGCTCTTTCAGCACAGAATTAAAGAAACCCCTGTGTGTTTTCTAGTAAATATACAGATGTAGAAAGCAAATTATTTGGAGGCTTCATATGTTCCTTAAGCTTTCTTCCGATTTCCCATCCTAGCTAGACAACAACAAAATTGACAATCCTCCTTAAATGAAGAAACACAGAAAGGAAGACAGAAGGTTTTTTTTCTTTTCCCACCACCCAATTCATTTCCCCTCACTCCTCCACACCACTGAAGAACTGGGGGTGGGAAGAAAAGAAGAAGAGTTGGTTCCTATTGTGCATGAATTACCTTTTAATCCATTTTGACATTTTAAGTAAAATCCTGTTGGCTTTACACTGGTAAAAGACTTTTACCAGTATGCGCTGTCAGGCCTTAAGGAACACCCCAGCATAGTCTTCCATTTTAAGCAAAAATCCTGTTGTCTTTACACACGATCTGAAGGACTGGTAAAAGACTTTTACCAGTATGCGCTGTCAGGCCTTAAGGAACACCCCAGCATAGTCTTCAGAAGAAAGGCAGGAACGGTATCAGACGTATAACTGGCTGCATCCACCCATTCTTCTACTTCATATTAGGTAGTTTAAAACTTTTTCCATTTATTGGCATGACAGATCGATTGCTAAAAGAAAAAGCGGCCTAGGAATTGTTCAGGCACCATGTTTAAGAGCCAGAAACACTTTTGTAAAAGATGACCAACTATTAGGGGAGCGTGGTGGGCAAACAGCTATGTCAGTGGTGGTCATCTCAATTGTTAAGGTACCTTGTATAATTATAGACAGTGGAGTCCAAGCACATCAGTTTTGGGCAGCAAACTATACCCTTTTGTCTAGCTTTGGGAATGCTGCACCTGTTCAACACGCCTAGTGATTCTCACATGAAGACGACGCGTTATGCTGGAGTTAGTACTCCGCTGGACCGTTATTGGTAGAAGTACTGTGGACCTTTTAACAGTCAAAGATTCAATCAGTTAGAAATATTTGTGCTTTAATTACTTTTACACTGTCTGTGTGGTTTGTACTAGTGAGTTACATCTCATACCTCCATTGTACAGGAAATCTAACACGAAGGATATGTAGCACACACCTCCGTTTCTTATTTTAACAGTGCTCCCCACACAAGTATAGCCCCTTAAATGCACCACCATTTCCAAAAGATACATTGGAATTCTACAGTAGAAAAGAATGCTTATAAACAACACTAGCTAGACTACTACAGGACACTTTATTTGTCAGTTCATCATTAGTTATTAGTGGCAACACATTATACAGTATTTCTAGAAAAGTTTTTCAAAAATTGTAAATACAATTCCAATATCTAGGAAACTTAATTTTTTGAATGTTAAGACTCGATAATGTAATAGCTTAAACTATTAGAAACTACATGGTGAGCCAAAACTAAGGGTCCAAAATAAAAAAACCTTAATAAAACAGCACCTCCAACAGGTGCATCATCATAGACTTTAATATAAAATTCAAAGTATCTGATTTCAGAATTCAGACATCGTGCAGTATAGCTTTAGGGAGCATCACAGATTGAAAGTAGACATACTAATGCTAAGTTTCAGTGATTCAATGGAATCATTAGCTTTAAATACTTTAAATATAAAGAAAACATTTGTACTGTGCCTATATTGGTTGATCCCAATGACCAAAGGCATTTGCTTAACAGAGCTGATGTGTAAGCTTGATTTGTCACATTTAAATTAAAAAAAAAAAAAAATCCAGTTTTAAGTAACTTGTCCCCAAAATACAAATTAAAGCTACTCAAAACACATACACTATCAGACCCATCCACAAAAATAATTTCTGGGGGTACCACTTTTGGATTTGTTAGCTTCAGGCCACCCTTTAAAAATCCGCAGATAAAACCCAATTTAGAAAGACCCACACATTCTTCGTGCTTTTGCAATCTAGACATTACGATATGCCTGAAACTGGAGCTCTAATTTAGAGCATGGCCCAGAATGAAAAGCAGAACGAAAGAGAAAGCCTTGTAATTCTGCAATTACTCCATATCCAAACAACCTTTGTTTTCTGGGGTTTTTTGTTTTTTTTTTTTTGTTTTGTATTGGGTTTTTTTTAATCAATTCTAAAAACTATTTTCCCCTAAAAAAGCAACCTACTATGCTAGAAGTTTCTGTGTATTTACAATTAATCCCCCCAAAACAGGGGATGATGGGAAAAATTCTGATCCATTAAGAAAACCATATATAACATCGCATTAATAGTTAATGCAATTTACAACAATTTCCCTGTGTTTTATCAACAGAATGTGTCACTTTAGATCAATGTCTTCATTACTTAAGACTGCTTTATAGTTGAAATTACACAATTTAAACCACAGGTAACATGCATCACCTTAGTTTAATAATCCAGTATACTACAAAAAAAACAAACAATGCAAAGAGCATCATGTAGCATAACAGCTTTGTCTGGCTTCCTCTGGAGAGTGCTCTCAGTCTGCCCATTGTTGCACCCAGAAGTCCACCCGCAGAGTCAAAATCGTTATCCTACATTAAAAAAATAAAACACCAAACAAGAAAACAAGAGAAACCACATTACTCTGAGGAAAAAACAAACACATTACCCCTAAAGCCTGCAAAGTGTAATTCTTCCTATTTTTTTGAGTATTCCAAAACTACAATTATTTTAGAGGAGGTTTCTGAAAATTAATCAAGAAACACTTTTGACAATCTATGCAGAGATATTTTTTTCCTAAGACAAAGCCAAAGTGTAAGCAAAAACAGCATTTCTGACTTAGTTATTTTTTGCTGCACTCTTCCATACTTAAATACTGAACTGCTTTTTCAATAATGATATACACTTGCTAATTGAAAATAAGTAATTGTATCTATCTATCTGAAGCATAAAGACCTTGGAAGTAATGTATTCACATGTCTATCTTTTTGAAGAGAAATGCTGCAGTCAACCATAAGCTGTCAATAATTTAACTTAATACAAACGTTCATGCTAGAAGTAGGACTGTTTTACATTACTATCTTCTTAATACTGCCCCATATTTAAGAAAAGTTAGTGACTAAATACTTACCATTTCTGATAACATTTTATTTTGGTTCTTAACTTCTGTTCCAATTTCAATGGAAAGCTATGAAAAAAAACCAAAAAGTATTAAATATGAGTAATCAATTATACATAGATTAGAGAAACCTGTAAAATACATGATATAACTAGCATTTCCCAAGGTAAAATGTGAAAATAGTACCTGATAATTTCAAAAAACAAAACAACATGCTCAATATTCTGTCAATAACCCTTAAGAAAGTAAATATTTGACACCCGACTTGAAGAGCCTAAAGAGTCACAGAATCATAGAATCACA